CACCTAAATCAGTCAAGAGACAACGAAGCCAAACAATCTCAACAGTGGCATGAGCTATAGCACATTACTCAACCTCGGCAGTGGAACACGCAACAATAGTCTATTTCTTGCTTTTCTAAGAAATCAAGGCATCACCAAGAAACATGCAGAAGCCAGAAGTAGACTTACGATCAGTGATATCACCAGGCCAATCAGAATCAACATAAGCTACCAAGTCCAAAGAGGAAGTAGAAGACAATAATAAACTCTGAAATATAGTACTCTGAAGATAGAGAAAAATCCAAGCCAAAGCAACCCAATGTGTAGAATGAGGAGCAGAAACGAACTGATAATCATATAAACAACATAGGCAAGATCGGAGCACGTAACCGTTAGATAGACTAAGCAATCCACGAGCTCTTGATATAAAGTAGGATCATCTAGAAGAACACCATCAGTAGGGGTGAGCTTCACATTAAACTCAATGGGGTTATTAGAAAGCTTAGTGTCAGTAAGACCAGCATGATGAATAACCTCATTTGCATACTTGGCTTGAGAGAGAAAGTAGCCCTTGGGAGAAGAAGTTATCTTAATATCAAGAAAAATACCGCAAGGGGCCTATATCCTTCATTTCAAAAGTGCAAAAAAGATGCTGCTTGATCTCAGAGATAGCAGAAGAGTCAGAGCCAGTGATGATCATATCATCCACATACAGTAATAAGGAAACAAATCCAGCAGAGGTGTAGAGAAGAAACAAAGCAGAGTCTTGTGTACAAGGATGAAACCCAAGCGCAGTAACAATAGTCTGAAAGCGATCATACCAAGCATGAGGAGACTGTTTTAGACCATATAGAGCACGTCGAAGGCAACAAACTTGTCCAGATAAATGGTGATGGCCAAGGGGAGGACGCGTGTAAACCTCCTTGGTGAGATGGTTATTAAGAAAAGCATTTCTAACATCCATGTGATAAAGAGGCCAAGAATGAACAACAGCAATATAGATCAAAGTACGGACAGTAGTCATATTGGCAACCGGAGCAAAGGTCTCCTCATAATCAATACTATACTCCTGTGAGAAACCTTTGGCAACCAGACGAGCTTTGTAGCGCTCAAAAGAACCATCAGAATGAGTCTTGACTTTATAGACCCATTTGCAACCAATCATATTCTTACCAACTGGCAAAGGAACCAACTCCCAAGTACTAGTTTTCTGTAAAGTAGACAACTCATCCTCAATAGCTTGAATCTAATGGGGATCTTGACAGGCCTCCTTATAAGACTGAGGTTCTAAAAAAGAAGGACAAAAAAGTACGATAGGAAATAAAAAAACATGTATTAGATCAATCCAACCTGTTTGGAGAATGATGCGCTCGAGTAGAATATTGGTGTGCAGCAGGATTAGAGTCATCAGAAGGAGGATCAGCAGTAGGGGCAGAGATAACCGGTGGAGAAGGAGTCTTGCGACAAGAATAAAGTAACAACGGAGGAGAATAAGAAACCGAAGGAGGAGAAGCAGCCAGAGGTGAAGCAAGAAGAGAAGATGGAATAAGCTCAGGAGGAATTGTGGAGACGTATTCATCAGACGGGATCTTAGAAGGAAACAGATCAATATGAACCAAATCCTTTTTGGAAACTGGATAATCCTCTTTGGAAACTGGGGCGGTGAGAGGAGGAAGCTAAAAGTAAGGGAGACATTCAAGAAAGGCAACATGGCGGAAGACATAAAAGTGATGGAACAGGGTCATAACAGCGATAATCTTTCTGAGTGAGATTATAACCCAAAAGACACATAGGACAAATCGGGCACTAAGTTTGGTCCTATCTTTATGGGGTAAAAGGACAAAACAAGTAGACCCAAACACACAAAGGAGGGAGTAATTAGGAAGTTGAGAAAACAGAGCCTCGTAAGGAGACTAACCAGAAAGAAGGGAGGTAGGCATACAGTTGAGAAGAAAAGCAGCAGTAAGAACTGCCTCACCCCAAAACGTAGCCAGAACGGAGGCAGAGAGAAGGAGAGACCTAGCTGTCTCAAGGATATGACGGTGTTTACGCTCAGCTCGACCATTTTGGGCAGGTGTATCAGTACAAGAAGTTTGGTGAATGGTATCCAATTTGGCTAAATATTCACTGAATGCAGTTTTAAAGTATTCTCCGCCCAACAAACCACAACAATTTAATAGTAGACCTAAATTGTGTAGTGACCATAGATTGAAAAGTTCTGTATATCTGATAGAAGTCAAACTTATGAGTCATAAGATAAACCCAAGTGTAACGGGTGCAATCATCAACAAATGACACATAGTATGCAGAACCCCTTTTGGTGAGAACAGGAAAAGGGTCTCAAACATCAGTATAAATTAAAGAAAATGGTGTATCAGATGTAGAAGTACTTTTATGAAAAGATAAGGCTATCATTTTGGCAAGTTTACACCCTCGACATTTAGTAAGTTCACTAGGAGAAACTTTACCTAATATACTAGACTGAGGTAAAGACTGTAAACGATCAACAGACAAATGCCCTAATCTAGAATGCCACAAGTAGAAAGGATTAGACACAGAATCTAACTGAAAAGAGGAAAAGGCAGTCAAAGAGGTTAACATATGCAAATGCAAGCTCTCTATCATGTAGAGGTCTCCAACTCTACGGCCAGTCCCAATCTGCTGCTTAGACATTCGATCCTGCGCAAAACAAATAGAATAAGAAAAGATAACATCAAAACTAGAGGCATCAAGCTAACTGATAGATAATAAACTGACAGATAACTGAGAAACATAAATGATAGATGGAATAGAGACAGCAGACATAGGAGACGGTAGGACAGATCCAACAAATATAATAGACATACCTGACCTAGTAGTAGCATTGACAATAATAGGAAAGGAAGGAGGAGTGCAATTTTGAAGAAAGGAAAGATGATGAGTCATGTGATGAGAGGCACCAGAGTCAAAAAACCAAAAGCCAGTGTCTTCTACATCGGTCTGCCATAACCATACAGTCTTCTACAACGGTCTGACACGACCATACAGTGTCTCCTATCCATTTTTTATTTTTCAGATTATTTTCTTGTTTTGTTACTCTCTCCAAACTCAAGTTGGTTAGTTCCTATCTCCCTTGAGTTTGGGGGGGCTGTTAAAACCTACCATCACCTACTACACCTACCACCACCTACTACACACCTACCACTACCACCTACTACCACCTATTCCACTACATCTCCTATATAAGGAGCCCCTCCCCATTTGTAAAATATAACATACATCAATCAATAATACAATCAATATCTATACAATTCTCTATTTCTCTTTATACATTAAATTTTCTACAGCACACTCGTCAAAAACCAAACACATCGTAATAACTAGAGAGGTGAGGGGTTCGAGTGTAATAAACCAAGAACTAAGGAGTCAAAACATATAATAATCCTAAACAACCAAACTAAACCACCATAATATGATACACACACTGGTACTGATGTGGTCAACGTGGAATAAGGACAAAACCTGATGGACTTAGATCAGAGAACCAATACAAACAGAGAGAGCTTTGTGAACAGAGACAAGACCAAAGACGAAGAGAGCGGGAGCTTCGTCAATACCAACAACGAAGCAGAGACCTTCACTCGACACACAATCCTAAGAGATAGCGAACAACAGAGACTGAGACCCCAAAGCTGAACCCAAATGATGTTACGACTTCACAGAGGCAAAGACAGGTTGGAGAGTCAGAGACTTGTGATCGCGATCAGACCTAGAGAGAGGGAGTTGCGAGCGAAATCTGAACCATAAAAAGAGATGTAAGCTTTAAACAAGTTTGACAAACCAGAAATCCCACTTATGCAATTCGATTATGAACCACGTGAGCTGATGACGCTGACCAGATGAACCAGAACTTCGAACCACACGGAACAAGGAAGAGAAAGCTTCAATTGACCAGGATAATCGTGAATCGAGAGAGAGAGAACTCAATCAATTCGTGATTTAGAAACCAGAAGAAGAATTCATGAATCAAGCGGTTAGGGTTATGAACATAGCTCTGATACCATATAAGTTTCTGAATAAATTTGTATATTCAATTGTACGTAATACAAAGATTACAACCAATATTTATAGCTATCTTAAACCTAATTTATAATAGGAAATGAACCTATACAATCAATCTACAATCAATCGAATATTCACAATCAACCTAATTGATATATTTCCATAGTTACATAATATTCTCATAGTATCTTCAAGGCAAATGGCTGGATGATGCTGGAAAAGTCTTTCCTTTCTATCTACGCCTTGTTAGTGCTACATGTCTTGGAAAGGCTTTTCCTATGATTGATAAAATGGTCTTGCCTTCTGTATGCAATTTCTTAAGGGTGTTCCATGTACACTTTTTGAGCCCCTGAAACATATTTTTTGATTAATTGAAGTCTTTTCCCGTTCTACAATTTTATTCATTTAGAATGTGTTTATGTTAGGCTTTGCATTGTAGTGCAGAGAAGCAATCTTGTGTTAAGCTGTAAAGTGAATAATACTAATAAAACGTTGATCGATCTGCAACAAGAACTAGGCTTAATCCTAATCCTAATCCTATTTATGTGGATCCTATTTATGTGGAGTCAGCAATGGAAAATAGTGAAATACATGAATGAATTTCGTTTGGTACAAGGCTTGAAAGGTAATGATAAATGATTGTAGATGTCACATTCTCACCTTTGTGCTATTCTTTGCTTCTTTCTAAAGGAAAAAAGAAACGAGAATATGCTTCCTAGCTAGAATGTTAATAAATTGTATTCTTGAGCAACTCCATCCTAGTTCATATGATCACTTCAAAAAGAATTTGGCCTAAAAAAATTGAATGCCATGGACAATTTACTCTGTAATCTGAAGCAGACATGTATGTTTGGCTTGTTCTTTTTTTTCTTAGTTTGGTTCCAAATGCATACTTGATACAGTGTGCATCTAGTTACCTGTGCTTAAAGAGTTACCTGCATGTAATTGGACATTTCTTTCTATACCCTTGTGTGTTTCAGATGAAGGAGCTGGTACTTCAGAGGAGGATTTGAGTTGTGGGGAGGTGGAAGCAGCTGAAAGTCAAGAATCTTCTGTTGCACGTCCAGGTGACCAGGAGCTGAAAGAAATGCTATTGCGCAAGTACAGTGGCTATCTTAGCAGCCTGAGAAAGGAATTTTTGAAGAAAAGAAAGAAAGGAAAGCTACCGAAGGACGCAAGGATTGCGCTACTGGACTGGTGGAACACGCACTACAGATGGCCATATCCCACAGTAATTTCAATTATGACCTTTATTATTATTATTATTGTTTTTGTGTCATATTTATATGATACATAATAAGATGGCAGTTGCCAAATGTGATCCCTCAAGTGTAGTTACAAAGATTTACTCCTAACTAAATCTCAAATCCCCTAAACCTATAGATTTCAAATAAATCACTGAACACTACTTTCATAAATTTCCTGTATATCAATGATTCTGGTGAAATCAAGATTAATTATAGCTCATCCACCATTGGGTTTGATGTGATGGTAGTCTTTCCAACGTTGAAAATGGGATTAAAAACTTTAATATAGCTTTAAGCAAGACAATTTAATTTTGTGTACAGATGAAAATTACAATTCTTGAACTGAACTGGGAACATCCGTTGACCTTGTCAACAAATTAGTGTACATCTATTGAGCAGCAGACATTCCAATTGTACACTGGCTGGTGCCTTTGGCACAAATTATGTGTCCTATGAAAGTTTGTCATTAATTTCTTTCATTTCAGTTATCCAACAAAAAAAAACAAAGGTAGTATGGAAGTTTGTGTAAGTGGTTCAACGCGAATTCTTAATTGGACTTTAAAGTTGGATGAAGTTTCAGTGCTCTTTCTTTCATTTATTTCTGAGAATTTTCTCCACAGTTCTCTAAATACGAAGAATAAATGATGGTGTACAGGAGGATGAGAAATCAAAGTTGTCAGAATTTACTGGATTAGACCAAAAGCAGATTAACAACTGGTTCATAAACCAGAGAAAGAGGCATTGGAAACCATCTGAAGACATGAGATTTGCTCTCATGGAAGGTGTTAGTGGCAGCATTGGAGGACCCATGTACTTCGACAATGCAGGAGGAAGTGTTGATATTTAAAGGTTTGTTCAGAGTACTATTTTCTTTTTTGTTGTTTTATTGCTGTACTTTCTGGAATATTTATATATAAAGGCAGTGTTTATCGTTTACTTTTTCTACAAATAGATTTTGCATACTAGTTTTAGTCTTTCTTCAGCCATAGCATGTGGTGTGTGCACCTGATTGTACGAGTCATTTGTGAGTAGATACTTGTGGAATTTGTAAATTGATGAAGTGGTTTTCTATAAATCATCCTTTCCATGGAAAATGATAGTCTTTTTATGAAAAGTGTTTTCTTGTTTACTTTTGGTTGGTAAACAATGGAGTTTCATACTAAAATAGTCAAGGGATTGGGTGGTGATGAGTTTATGTAGTTAGTCAAACTCTTGTGAATCAGCTTGGTTTAATAATTTCGCCAATCCTGCAAAATTGCTTTAACGAAGGAAAATGTTTGTTAAAATGTTGTGTAAGTTAAAAGTTCAAAATTCGTGATTGAATATGTCCACTTATGTTATTGTTCTGATTAGGTATAGAATTGTGAGGGGGCCTAGTAACCTTCTTGTGGGTCATTGCTGTGTGAAAGTCATCTTAATGGCAATTGGAGAAGAAAACTTTTGGTGAAATTCTTTCTTTATGTGCAGGATGGTAGGTTTTTCCGTGACTCTGAGGAATAGACAACAAACCAATTTGGGCCTTTTAGGAAACGGAGAAGGGGGCTGATTGTGCTAAGTTGTGAATAACTTGTTAGATTCAGGAAAGAAACATAACAAAAGGAGGTTATGATGGGTCAAGATATAAATAAAGGGTCAGTATGTGGTGCTCACCCTTAAAAATACGACTTGATGTGATTGGTTTACAATGCTGACCATATTGTGTCATTACTTTCCCAAGTCAATGTGGTTGGATTACAGCAAGATGTGGTCAGTGATTGCATTTGAGTCGTAAATTTTGTTTGGATTTGTAATCCACAATTTTCTATTAGTTGGGCGGCATATATATCATCTCTTAGGGAAATGCACAAATATATTTAAAGGTTTTTTAGGGGTGTGAGATTCATGTAACTAGAAGCTTCTATGCAGTCCTATATAAAGGACACTCTATTTTGCTACATGCAAGTCAAAGAATAAAAATGTGTTGGTACGTTTGTGTAGGTGTTTTGATTGTATTCTGAGTTCATGTTGGCGGAGCTCTATACGTCTCCTACAGCTGTGAATATCCTTGCATACTTGCATCCATCACATTTTTTGTTTTAATCTTCCGCTGTTCTCAACAACTTCAATCGCATTGAATCATAATTTTTTAGACTACGCACCATATGGGGTGTGCGGCACAAAATTTCCGAAGTGTTGCCTTGGTGATAACTACTACATTGTTAGTGGTTTCATTCCCAAATTTCAACAATTATGCTTGCAATTCCATGTTCAAACCGTATTCACATCACGTCAGTGCAGGTATGCTGATTGTGTCAATGTTAACTATAATTTTTACTTGTCTTTGTTTCATGAATTTCATTGAGGTGGCACTTTTCAACATGTTATTGTTGGAATGTGTCCCACATCGCCTGGAGTTGTCCCATCTGTACTTGTTAAGGTTTCAGTTTTCCTCTCCTTGATACTTGGGTTTTAAGAAATGTGGGTTGGGCTTTTCAATTTGGTATCAAGGCTTGATTGGGCCTTTGATTGGTGTGCCGTTTGTCTGGCTACTGTTCGGCTACTATATATTGTGGTCCAGGAGGGTATGTTGGAATGTGTCCCACATCGCTTGGAGTTGCCTTATCTGTGCTGGTTGTAAGACTTCAGTTTTCTCTCCTTAATACCTGGGTTTTAAGAAGTGTGAGTTGAGCTTTTCAATTGTTATTAGTGATATGCCATCATAAAAAGTATACAATTTATGGAAGTATACAAGTGTTGGTTAGTAGTTCTGGCAAATATTATTCTTCCACTGGAAAGTGTTTGCAACTTCCATAGAGCCTTGTCTTCTAGATGTACTATTGTGTGAATCGCTTGTAATTTTCCTTCAAGGTGCATGCATCAGTAAATTTTTCCTCTTGTTGATATAAAATAAAATGTAGTGAGATTAAACTACGCTTGGCTGTGATGCAGGAAATCATATACACCTGGGTTTAGCATGCTCCAACACTGGATGATGGGATTTATACTTGAAAAACAAGATCTTGTGCTGCAATAGAAGGTCAGTTATCATGGGCTGAGAAATCTTTAGAGTATGCAGAAGAAACACAAGCAATTAAGTTTTTAGGCATGAGCAAGTATTGTATGATCACTAAAGATTTGTTATTTATGCCCATGGATGTATATAAAATGTCCTCTTTGTATTGCTTGTCTGGTAAACATTTTGAACTGCAGACATAAGAATTGAGCAATGATGATTGTTCCCTTTGGACACTCTCTTGGTGCCCAGTGACTATTTTGGGGAATACTGGTACAAAACTGATTCTGTTAAAAAGACTCAAATGAAATTACTCAATAATCATGTAAAAAAACAGTTCAGCATTCAAGAGTATGGAAAATTGATGTAGAATATTTATAGAAACCCAAGAAGAATTGAAGGGTAAAATGTAATTTTGATGGACGAGCTTGGAATTGTTTCAAATTTGGTAATTTGATTAAAAACGGTCTAGAGAGTCATTTCTTTGTTCTTTTCATTTATGAAAACTTCTCTTTAGGCATTATCTTTATTTAGGAATTTTCATTTCTAGTTTAGTTTGTTTTTGGGATGTTTCTTAGACTTTCTAGTATTTAATTTTTGGCTCAACTCAAAATTGCTGATTGTTTTTTAGTTCCCCTTTATTATTTTTTCATGTTTAGCAAGGATTCAAACCTAGCTTAGTGGTTTCCTTTATTAGGTTAATACAGTTTTTCATTAACAATATTATAGTTTTTCTTTTGTGAGGATTTCTCTTTTCTGGTGGATTCAGTACTCTTGGATATTGATGATGGCGGTGGTGTCCATTCTGTGTTTTTCTTCCTAATTTTTTTAGAAGAACAAGAATATCTATAACCGCTATTGTATAGTTGCAATCATCTTTACTTGATGGCTGCCATGACACAGGTAAGTGGGTAGACTGTACGATGAGACCAGTCTCAATGGTTTCTCCAGGTAAAGATTTGGGCTTGACTTAAGAATTTCTTGTCCTATACATGCATATTATACAAGTCAATGAGCTATTTTTCTAGTTGACAGTCTAAATCTTTGAGTTGGTCCATATCACAATTTCAAAATACAAGTAGAGAATGTTCTTTTAAGACTCTGGAACTTGAAGATGCAAGGTAGCTTGTAGGAAAATGATCTGACGGACATAACAAATAACAATGACAACTTTCCTCAGACTTCGTTGATTCTCAAAAGAAGAATAGTAAGAACAACGGTGTCAAAAGCCTTGTTGATTCTTTGTTAAAACAAAGAACAATTGACAAGTGGAATAGCAAAATGACACTGTAAATAGATTGCCGATATGCTGTATGTCTGTTGATGAGAGAGCATCATGATCGGATTATAAAATGAACTTGTGAATTGTCTAAGCTGGGCTTTTTATAGGTTCCGCAATAGCAGTTCATTCATAATTTCCTTACACTGATTAGAACATATATTTTACCCAAAATTCCCATACTCTCCTCTTCAAACCACACCATAGATAAGAGATGAAACCCTCCCCTAGGTTTATGAACGCCTCTTTATCTCTCCCACTTTGCATGGGCAGCAGTAGCTGAAAAGGATCCTCCCTAGCATTTTTTACATTTAGTCATTATCCGGTAGTTGATCTAAAGATCACAATTTAGCAGTTAGTCTACAATTTAACTAGTCATTGTCACTAGTTATGGCCTTGGGATCAACTTTTGTGCTTTTATTTTTGGGAAATTACCATTCAGTGGTGTAATTTTTAATAGTTATTACAAATTCAAGTAAAATTTAATAATGTTCACTCTTTTTTTTTGGACATACTGCCCTGGTATTTGCCCTTTCTTTTTTTTTTTTTATTGTTTCCATTCTTGTAAATAAAATTTTAGATTTTCTCATCGACTTTTACTATTGGAGTTTAATTTAAGGCTAAATTATAAATATATTTTTTGAGATTTGATTAAAATACGAATAATTTCTTGTGATTTTAGAAATTATATTCCACTTCTTGATGTTTTTAATTTCATAACAAATCGTTTCTTTTATTAATAAATTAAGTCTATTAACAGTTTTTAATGATGTTAGAAATATGTTTTAATTAATAATTTAGGTAATTTTATTATTGTATAGGAGAGCAATTATGAATTTAATTTTTTTAATTAATTTTTTTAAATAAAAAATACTAACAAGAAGGTATTTGTAATTTTTTAAACTATAAAGAGCAATTTGTAATTTAAACAAATTTCAGGAGACGTATATGTAATTTATCCTTAATTTAATTTAACTAAACATATAGTTTGAGAGGTAATATTTGTTAGACAACTCAATACAGTTTATTTGTTTTAAAAAAAAGAAAAGTTCAATGACATTTGGCTGGAATTTTAGTTCATAACTTATTTGACTTTTTTGTTTTTATTATTATTTCCGATGCATCCAAAAAAAAAAAAACTTATTTGACTTTTTATACTATTTAGCTTTTTTTAAAAAAAGAAGAGATTTTCCCAATTTATAATTTGTAAATTTTTTTTTGGACATACTGCCCTGGTATTTGCCCTTTATTTTTTTTTATTGTTTCCATTCTTGTAAATAAAATTTTAGATTTTCTCATCGACTTTTACTATTGGAGTTTAATTTAAGGTTAAATTATAAATACATTTTTTGAGATTTGATTAAAATACGAATCATTTCCTGTAATTTTAGAAATTATATTCCACTTCCTGATGTTTCTAATTTCATAATAAATCGCTTCTTTTATTAATAAATTAAGTCAATTAATAATTTTTAATGATGTTTGAAATATATTTTAATTAATAATTTAGATAATTTTATTATTGTATAGGAGAGCAATTATGAATTTAATCTTTTTAATTAATTTTGTTAAATAAAAAATATTAACAAAAAGGTATTTGTAATTTTTTAAACTATAAAGAGCAATCTGTAATTTAAACAAATTTTAGGAGACGTATATGTAATTTATCCTTAATTTAATTTAAATAAACATATAGTGTGATAGGTAATATTTGTTAGGCAACTCAATACAGTTTATTTGTTTTAAAAAAAAGAAAAGTTCAATGACATTTGGCTGGAATTTTAGTTCATAACTTATTTGACTTTTTTGTTTTTATTATTATTTCCGATGCATCCAAAAAAAAAAAAACTTATTTGACTTTTTATACTATTTAGCTTTTTTTAAAAAAAGAAGAGATTTTCCCAATTTATAATTTGTAAACTAAAAAAAATAAATAAAAATTCCAGCTTATTTATTTATTTATTTTTTGTTTTGAACAGAGAATTTCCAGCCTATTTGAAACCATTAAAAACGTATGGACAAAAACCATTAAATAAGCTTTTGATAAGAAATGAGTTTTCAATAACTATGATTGAAGTATTTGAAAATGAAATTTCTTTTATTTTGGGATCTTTAGGCGACAATTTTTTTTGGTCGTTCACAAAAAATTGTAGGCGAAATTATTTGTCTGTGGGAAGCTGGGAACATTATAACATATATACAAAAATATTTATAATTTTAATTATTAATATTGATAGAGTCTACCATCAATTTGTAATTATTTTTCAATATTTCTATTGAACTTATTGTCCAATATTTACGTTGAACTGAAATTTCCTTTAAATAATATATGTTTTTTGGGTCTTAAATAAAGAGAATTAGAAGTCGTCGGAATTTTGAAATTGGGGCTAGGTACGTGGATTTGGTGGATTTATATATTGTAGTAATGATTTTTTTTAATTTAAAATAATTATAAATTTGCATTCTCATTTTATAGTCATTAGACATGTAATAAAAAAATTTCATTATATACGTAGAATGGGATCAAAGTCCTATTACAATATGTACTAATATTCCATGTGACATAACAAAACATGCAAATTATAACATCAATTTTCTAGATTATATTTATGTTGGGTGGTACATATTTAAATGTTACATATGAATATGAAATAATTATTTAGGCCGTGTGATTCATATAAGTAGAACTTTTATGTGGTCTATAAAAAAAGACATGGCAGGGATGATTCATGTAAACTAAAGAAAATTAGAAAAATATTAATATATTTAAGTAAAATTGTGTTGATCTGATTCCATACGTAGAAATGTTACATGCAAGGAGATCTGATTCGATATGTAAAAACACCCATTAGAAGAATAGTTTTAAATTTTAGTCCCGTTTGGGATGTTTATTTGGGTTAAAATAGTTATATAGGATAAAGTAGACTATTTTAGTTAAATATGACAAAATGTCACATTCAACTTATAATCATTTTATTTTTTCCCTCATAAAAATTAAAAAAGTCAAAAAGTTCATCTCAAACGAAATTTTTTAGTCTCAGGTCAAAATAACCAAAAAGTTAACCCACATCCCAAACGAATGTTTTTGCTATCCCTAGCAAATTTGATATAGGATTCGTTTGAGATATGGATTGACTTTTTGATTTTTTGATTTTTTTTGATAATTCTAATCTGGAGCTAAAAAGTCTCTTTTGGGATAAACTTTTTTGATTTTTGTGAGAGAGAAAATAAAATGATTATAATTTAGATGTAACATTTTATCTTATTGGGTTAAAAAATATATTTTGTTGATTATTTTAGTTAAAAAGCCTCATTTTAACTTATGTCAAATGAAAGCATAAGAATCAAAAGTGTGTTTTGTTACTTTCTTGGCCCTTTGAATTTTTTCAAGCCACCCAAAAAATTTTATGATTACAAAACTTGGTAGCTAGCCAGTGTTAACCAAGGTTCAAAGAAGTAAAGATGAGAAGGTAAGAAGCAAATAAGAAGGTAAGCAATTGCTTCACTGAAAACTAAAACGAATAAAAAATGTGAAGCGTGTTCGCCATGGAACAAAACAAATGAAAAATGGGCGTGTGATAGCAATTGGGAATGCTTGGTCATGTCCAAAACATGACACAACAATATGAAAAAGTTGGATTATTTCCAAAAGATGGAAGGAGTAACATAAATATTGGTTATCGCCAAAATATGATAGCAATAACAACATAAATGATTAAGATGACGGAAGCAGCAACAACTTGAAAAATGAAAACAGGTTTGTCGAAGGATACCAAAAAGTTGAAAACAAAGAATGGGGACTGACTACCTACCAAATGAAAAAGGGTAGCAGACCATTGAAGAAATTTACGAGATATGGAAACGGTGGTATTATTTTTACTCTTATACTTTGTCACGTTTTTCAAAGACACCCTAGACTATTGCTATTTTTACGCGTACTCCTATATTATTTGAATTTTTTTTAATTTTACCCCTGCCG